TAAGGAAACAGAATAAGACATAACCAGTGACGAGTCCGTCTGCTTTGGAGAATTACTGTGATTTATCATATTAATCATGACTAAATCCATAGATAATTAAGGAAATAATAAATTTCAATATTAATTGTGGTGACTAATGTTGAAATTTAAAAAACTTTTTTAGGTTAGAATTCAGGAGGTTAGAGTTGTTAATAAAAGATTATAAGTGGATTTTAGAGGTATTCTATATTTAAAAAGAGACAAATTTTGTCGACATCAACCAATTTCACACATTAGTCATCTAACAATTCAGGAATATGTATTTAAAAGGATACGTGACCACATATGAGTCCAATTTATCCCTAATTGACTAGTCAATCGTACTTTTACAAATGTACGATTAATTACACTACCATTGAGCGAAGTTGACATAGTAACTGGGTAGCATTCAACTTTTAAAGGGGGATTGCTATCTGCTGCTTTATCACGTTTTTTATAAAGGCGCTGAAGTTCAGGAATCACCAAGTTTCGCGCAGCAATTGCAGAATTCAACAGCTTTATAATTAACAAGAAAACATGTTTAAATTATTAGTAATATAAATGAATTTATATTATTTATAACTATACCTGATTTGTTTTTTCCAAAGTAGTTTGCTTAGTAGTCAACTCTGCAATATTGTTGAGCTGATTCTTGGTTTTTTCTTTTAACTCTTCGTTGCTCATCATATATGATGGTTTGTCTTCACTATACATAAAAGAATAAATGTTCTTTTCAAGATTATAAGTGCAAAATCAATACAACAATAAATTAAAGACTCGAAGTAGATAACAACAAAGGATAAAAACCTTGTAGTTTTGAAACTCGAACGAATCAATCGACCATTATTAGATAATGCATATAAAATTCCATCATTTGAACCTTGATCAGAAATGCAATGATAAGACAATGTAACAATCCCTTTAGGAAAGTATATAGGGATTGTATGTAGTGAAACAAGTTTGCCTAAAGAAAGTAAATTAATTTCACAAGTTCACCATTTCAGCAATCTAAGATATAAAAAAGTCTACCTTCTGAGAACATATCTCTGTCAAAGTTTATGACAACAATATTTCCATCTTCAACTGTAACTATTAAACGGTTCTATGAAATAAGAACTTAATTGTTAAATTATTTGGTTACCGTGTATAGAAATAAGTTGATATATTTTATGAACGGTGAGAGAAAAGTGAATACCTTAAATGCAAAAGACGAATGTACTGGTGCAGGAACAAAATATTCTTTATAAGCAATAGATTTCACATTAGAGTCATCATTTTTCTTGGGTGCCATACACATTAAAGCAATAGTGCCTTCAGAGCTGCATGAATAAAATTGTTATCATTTAATGTTAAAACATGTTTATTAAGTAAAAATATTTACCCAACAAAAAGAAATGCATTGTCAACTTTTTCTTCAATAAGTGGTCTTAAAAGCAATAACTCCGATTCATCGGTGACTTCTCGTTTTATTGAAAGTGTATATATAGCTTGAAGGGATTCCTAAAAATTTGTTAAACTTCATTACAAATCATAACATTTAAAACTATTAAAATCAAATCTGTAAAAATTTAGGACTCACATTTAACGCGGTAATTGCACAAGGAGGTGGTGCATCAAGAATTAAAGGTTGAAACAAAACAAGGCCATTCGAATATCCTGTTAACAATATTTCCTCCTGAAACCTATAATAATATGAGTAAGGAAATACTTAATTTCAATATAAATTTTAACATAAAATACGACAAAGTTTTTTCTTTATCATTTATTACTTTTGCGAACTATTAAAAGCCACCATCGCCAAATCATCAGAGACTTGCGTCACGAAATTGAAAGAATTTGCGTTCACTGAATTCTCATAAGCTTTATCACTAGATGACCTGAGTAATATTTAATGCGTCAAGAAATATTTATCGTATATTCATGAGTATAAATGCTATGAAGCGGGCATTCTTATAAAGGATATTTATTAAATGACATGTGATCTTGGGACCTGAAAGGTCACCTTCAATCCTTTGTTCATGGCGAAATAAAACTTGGTTTGAAGGAAGTCGATTCACCAATGAAAGAAATCCAATTTCACCATCCTCGGATATCATTAGCATACCATTGCGATTAAAAAGATTGTGCGGTCGCAATGCACAAATGCGAGGCTAATTTTAAGTATTATAAAAAAAAAAACCATAAGAATCAAATCACGAGAAATACATTATATAAAGGTACCTGCTGCAAGATTTTATGAACGTCCGTAACAGTGATCAACGTGGGTGGTGAAAAAAGTGAATTGTATTCATCAACTGTCGATTCCGCAATATTACGCGTTGGTTCGAATGTTGAGGCTTGTGGCAGTGGTTTATTATTATTATTATTATTTGCATCACTGATTTTTCTAATCTGACGTAATGGTGATGGATCTTGACTATCGACATCAATATTTCTAATCGAACCGGCAAAATAATTAACACGGCATAAAATAGAGTAAATTCATAAAATGCATAATGATAAAAACCTTTTTTGTCGTTGAGCTAGTGGTATGCGCCAAATAGAGCCATCAGCCGTTAAAACAAGAAAGGAAATAGCCAAGCCACTAACTGTCTCTGAAGACTTATACAATCCATCCTGCGATATTTCGATCGGATCAGCTGGAAAACGCCAAATTTCTCTAAGCGATTCCTTGAAAAATATGTGAATTCGTTGTGGAAGCACTTTAATGGCTAACCAGTCTTGTGCCGCAACACATTTGGCGATTGGTTTACCAATCGGCTGTGGAAGATGATAGGATTGTAAGATACGAACATCCATCTTAATGCAATGGTCGACCAGTAAAGGCAGAAATTGTAAATTCGTAATGATAGATCCTTATATAGGATTGTGATTTGACGCCGATCACTAATGCTAAGTAATTTTGTGATGATTGCAAATTTGTCCTACATTGAAATCAATCCCATCATAACGTTTCGAAAATTAGTATAATAGTTTGTGGATGAAGCTTATTTTGAACGATCTATAGTCATCCTTAATTATAACGAATCATATAAGTTATAAAATTGTGGGTTAATTTTAATTAATAGTTTTTCGATTCGAGATCAAAGATAAAACAAAATAATTTTTTCTTGTAGTATTCGTGTTCATAATTTCATGATTTTGGTGGTATAGTACTTATTACTATAGAGGATGAAATACTATTATTATTTTCATCTGTTAAGAGTCTATTTCTGAAGGACATTATCTCAATAATATAATGGCCTACGGATCCGATCCCTGAGGTTTGCCAACCCAGACGTGAATAATTGGCCACAATCTCTTTCTTTATCTTAAAATGAAATCACAAAATACAACAGTTTATCTACACGAGTACTTATTTTTAGATCTAAGACAAGATAAGAAAAGAATATGTATGGTTCTTAAAGTTGGCTTTTCACCCATTTTTATGAATGTAGTACCTGTTTATGATAAATAATCGTTGCAAATGAGATGAATGTAAATGAAAGGTTGACGGGATATTAAATGCTAAAAACCAAAATAGTTAAATCGGCCAATCAATAAATTGTCATCATTCACCAACTAAACATGAAAAAAAATCTATCATAGTAAAAATAATAATAATAATAACTAGGTGGATAATATTATAGAAGAGACTTTTTTAAACAAAATGAAAGAGTTCTAGAATAGCCATCCTAGTATCCTAGTTCTTCCTAAGAAATTCAAAATTTTATCATATATAGCGGATTTATAATAGGTATAGAAAAACAAGATAAATAAAGAAAAAAAACTTTCTCCTGCAATATAACACGTTCCAGTTAATTATTTTTTACTGGAACGCGTCCCAGTTTATCTAGGACGGCTCATCAAAGAAAAAAAATGATGCACAATAATATAATCAAATATAGCAGACAATAGAAACATAATAGTAATTTATTTAATATAACATTTATATTAATACGATTTAAAGGCAAATTAAAAAGAAAGGACACCCACAACTTTGACTTATTGCATAGGTAAATCTTGATGTATATTACCAGAGCCTTCGAATTTTTATAGCAGCAAAAATAGCATTAGTAATATAACGACAATCACATATTCTAGTGTGGTCAAAATCGCTTTATTTTTAATTCTATATATCCATAGAATAAAAATAAGAAAAATTTACCGAATTTAGTTTGACTGTTTTCGCGATATTGCTAGTGCTATTTTTGCTATTATAAAAATCCAAGGAAAGTTATATGAAAATATCTGATATACTGTCACATTGGCAATGTCCATTGCTTAGTTCATGATCTGTTTTTTTTTTTTTTTTAGCACTTAAGCCATCTACAGTGGAAAGTGCACTTTGTTCAAAATGTGATTTGCCAACGAAGTGGCATTACTATTCTTCTTGGTCGAAGTCTTCGTTTTCTGTATTTGTTTCTAAATCTGCCAGAAAACGTTTTAAATTCTTTGCAAGATGCTAAACCTGCTAGAACGCGTTTTAAATGCTTTGCAAGATGTTCCAATGAGTAATTCCTTCCTTTGAAAACCGAATATAATGCAAACAGCTTAGAAACATTCAATTAGTTAACCATATAAAAAAAAATAAAACCTACTCTTTGATAAGATAATGTGTTCTATACCAGGTTTCATGGTAGAATCTGTTGCATAATATATAAATATGTCCCGTATAATATAAATGTTTTCACTGATCATAGTCTATACCGGGTAAATAACAGCTCCCAATAGAAAAAGCATAAACAAGAAAATTAAGTAATAAAATAAGAATGGCGCCAAGAAAGTGCAAGTAACATATAAGGAATTATATCATTAAAAATAATTTGCATCTAAAGACATGTCAATTTATTGATTTTATTTTTTTTTTTTGCTAGAATTAAATAAGTTTCATCAGAAAAAAGTTTTTCTGTCACGACCTATAATTTTCATTTTGGTAAGTGTGACTTCAATGCATATCCAAATGGACCCAGTAACGCCACTAAAATCAGTTACATATATACGACATTAAAATTAATGATTAATACGACATTTGATTAATAATAATATATTAAGAATAATAATTTATGTTGAAATTGGTTATTTCTTTGAATATCGTAATATTTTCTAAATGAAACATACACATCTTATCGAATTTTAAATGATATTTGCAAGCAAAAAGAAAATACCATAAAATCCGAAGAGTTTGAATACTTATAACAAACTTATGGGTGTTGAAGTCATAGGACGACTTTCATATGATTTGCTGCTTAAAGTCTTTTTAGAAAAACAAAAACTACAAAGAATGAATAAAAAAAGAAGTATATAGAAAGTTTTATTAGGGCTATAGGACTCACTGTTGAAAATGATCGGAATCCCTTTTTGTTTTAGAGAAATTAGCATAATAACAACTTCTTAAAAATAGATCGAACTATGTTATTTCCATGCGGACTTTTCTAAAACAAAAAGGGATTTCGAGCATTTTCAACAGTGGAGTCTTACAACCCTAATAAAACTTTCTATATACTTCTTTTTTTTTCATTCTTTGTAGTTTTATTTTTTTTTAAAAAGTACTTTAAGCTATAAATAATGTAAAATTAAATTAACCACATATAGCATTAAAAATGTGCAGAAGTATTTAACTGGTCATCTAAATTGGTCATTCCTCTTGGGAAGATGGATGCATCATTTTGCGAAAGGTTTGTCATTATATTCTGGTTTAAAATTTTCTAAATATAACATTATATTAATTTAAGTACAACGAAATTCTTATTATCCTTTTATTACAGAGCTAAAGAAACTTTATGGGAAAGAATTCAAACGTCGCCTTAATTGATTACACCAAGTCAATTTAACGATTAATCAGAAAACCAAAGTATGGATAATAAGAAATCGAGTACTGAAGATAATGAACCCGTATCCGAAATTTTAAATACAGAAGAACTTTTCATGAGATATAAAAAAACTTTTTTATCATTATATTTCCGTGTTTAAATAAATATATTTATTAATTTTATGTTTTAGCCGTTTAATTGTCTTGAAAAGTCTAATAGTCTTCCCAAACAAAAAATGGCTTCGAAGTATTGAAACTTCAAATCTATTCAAAAAATGGTAGATGACATTAAAGATTTCGAACGAGCCAAAAAGCTTCCAAAAACCTGGAATGACATAACAAAAACGCCTTTTACTAGTATTGTAGTAGCATTAAATTCAAATTTAAAGCTTTTTATATGTATTAAATAAAATTTGAATATGGATATAAACGCATTTATACATTCGAATTGAATGTAATTTGACTTAGAATTTTGTAGTAATAATTAAATTATTCCTTAAAGAAAACTCGGGATTTTGTAATTCTGTTATTGTGCACAGATTGAAATTTAAAAGGCGATTACGTAACTGATTTTGGTGGTGATGCTAGGTGCGTTATCCGAATGTATCCTAACTTTATTCACGTTGTGGTAAAACAGGAAATGACGACAATAATAAGAAAATTTGAAGTGCGGTCTTACATAAGAAAAATTCGTCAATGATAAACTCTGCCAGGAGTCTAGACACTTCTTTACAGCTGTTCTCATTCTTATCGGAATTACGAAAATCCAATACCGATAATACCGAATTCAAAAACTTGTCGAATTCGGCCGAAATAGTTTTCCCAGAATTTGAGAACGGCTATAAAGACTCCTACAGCAGGCACGTGTAAGGTACAAATGGTGCCCATCTGTCGAAAGTGGGTTTGTTATCATACTACAGTACTAACGCTAATCATACATACTGATTTTGGTTTGTGCGCAATTGTGGAACAGCTCTCAACCGCTGATTCTGGACCCTATGCGCCACATCACGTTACTGCAAAAGTGTTTAGACTCCTGGCGGAGTACAACATTTAGCTCCAGCCACCTACCTCCACAACCACCTAAATTGGATACCAAATTCAGTATCACACGTCATTTTAAAGTAGTTCATTGTGCAGAAAATATAAAAGTCTCAATTCTTTATAGAAAGAACCGCAAATTATACGGTAAATTCGATAAATTCGATCACCAATCTTTACCTATTTAATTATATCGAGATTTAAACCTAAATTTGGCTTACATTATAAATTATATAAAGAGAAGTTTTCAGACCTCCTGGAACATTGGTTTTTTTTTCTTTTACTTGGAAAAAATGGATGCAGAATTTTTCAAAAAAACTTTCCAGCGATTTAACAAATCTTCTCATAAATGGAGATAATTATGACGTATTAATTGAAGTCGGTGAAATACCCAACCGTCAAATCTTTAAAGCACATTCAATTATCTTGAATTCACGATGCTCTTATTTTCGTGATGAGTTAAGCAAATCAAGTTTTAATGAAAGAAATGTTAAAAAAATCAGTAAACCAAATGTTTCTGTTAATATTTTTAAAATAATTATCACGTACGTATAATTTTTATCGATAAATTAGGTTTTAATTTATAATTATAAATCATAATTTGAGTTTTTTTTTAAAAAAAATGGGGTATAGGTATATTTATGGTGGTTTCGTTCAAATTGATGAAGCTAATGTATCTACAATCCTTGATGTCTTAAGTATTGCTAATCAGTTTGGCCTCGAAGAATTAGTCGATACTGTGCAAACAAAGTTGGTCAAGAACCATGCACCATGGATGCGCCTAAACTTTACTAAAGTTTATACAACTAGTTTTAATGAAAATTTTGAAGTTCTACAACAATTTTGTAATGATATTATTGTTAAACATCCAGATATTCTTTATAATTTAGAGGACTTTATAAATATTCCTGAAAAAGCCTTGGTTTCTTTTTTGAAGCATGAAAACATAAAAACTGATTATGGCAAAGTTTGGGATATGGTTATTAAATGGGGAATTGCTCAAAACTCTGACCTAAATTCTAATCTTGAAGAATGGTCTGACGAAAATTTTTTAACTTTAAAAACTATTCTTAAAAATTGCCTACCCCATATCCGCTATTTTCAAATGACTAGCAAAGATATTTTAGAAAAAGTACAGCCGTATCATCGAATCCTTGATCCTAAGTTATGGGAAATTATAAAATTTAATGCTTCAGATGAAGCTATTGTTTCAAATTTCTTACCCTTTCAAGCAATCTCAGCAACTAGAAACGTGAATAGCAATTCAATTATATTATCTCAAAATATATCTACTACAACTTCAAAAGAAAAAAATGTGAAAAAAAATGAAAATTCAACTACCGCTACCACAGCTACTATAGCCTCGTATGAAAAAAAACACACCTTTACGAAAAAATGGTAGCAATGTCAAATCTGAAAACTGGACGAAATGTGATATCAAATTTGAGAATGAATTTGAAAATGTTAAATTTGAAGATTTGTCAGAAAGTAATGATGAATTTGAAAATTTTTGGGGAAGTAATGAATTCGATAATGGAACTTTCACTAAAAGATCATATAAATGTGGAAATTGTGGCCAAGAAGGGCATAATCGACGTACCTGTGATCGTATCACTACACCACTACCAACTTCTCCAATACACAACGGTTCTACTAAAAGATCA